GGTAAGGTGCAGTTGTCGTGGCCATTCCGGGCTATTAAGATGCAGTTCGTTTGCGCCGATTGGATCCTCTCGACCACCCTCAGGATGAGCGGGAAGGGCGGGAAGAGGTAGAGCAGATGCCTCGACCAATCTAGAAGGAACGCGTCTCCGAGACACCCTGGTACCGTGTTCGGAGCAAGTCGAGCACCGAACTGAGGAAGCTGAGCGTTTTGCGGCGACGCGAAGAGGTCTGCGGCTGGGAGGCCCCACTCCCTGAAGATCTCGGCCAGTTCGTCGGGGTTCAACTTCCATTCGTGGGAGGTTGGCTTGGTTCTGCTGAGTGCGTCCGCCTCGACATTGGTCTCGCCCGGAAGGTGCAGAGCTGTTATCGACACCGACCTGGCTACACACCACTCCCATAGTTCCAGTGACAGTTTGAGGAGTTTTCTCGAGCCCGTTCCGCCCTGCTTGTTCACGTAGAACATCGCCACCATGTTGTCCGTAAGAATCTGGACAGACTTCCCGGTGACCAGGAGGGCGAATGCCCTCAGGGCTTTGAAGATTGCCAACAATTCTAAGTAATTTATGTGGCACTGTCTTTCTTGTGGAGACCAGAGGTCGTGCACCGAGAGTTCTCCTGTATGGCATCCCCATGCGAACATCGAGGCGTCCGTCGTGATCGTGACGGTTGGGGGCTCTGGATGGAAGGGAATGCCCTTGCAGACATGCTGGCGGTTCATCCACCAGCTCAAGGAGTCCTTCACCGACCTCGGTGTCAACAAGCGTTTTGCGGCACTGTCCCGCATGGGGTTGAAGTGGTCCAGAAACCATCTCTGGAGGGGACGGAAGCGGAGTCTCGCCAACGGCGTCACCATCACCGTGGAGGCCATGTGCCCGAGGAGGACCTGTATCTGCTTCGCTGGAACTACTCGGGATCAATGAACCTTGAGCGCCTTGGCACGAAGAGCCCTGAATCTCTCCTCTGGGAGGAACACCGACTGGGAGAGAGAATCGAACATGGCGCCTATGAACTTTATGCAAGTGGTGGGTTCCAGATGAGATTTTTCCTCGTTCAGCTGAAGGCCCAGATCTTCGAGGAGGGAAAGTGTCCTTGTGACCTGAATCCGCAGGAGGTCTGGGGAGCGTGCTGCCAACAACCAATCGTCTAGGTATGGGAAAATGTGGATTTTTTCCCTTCTGAGGGCTGCTGCGACCACCGACATGCATTTGGTGAAAGTTCTCGGTGCCGTTACGAGCCCGAATGGAAGCACGTTGAAGGCATACGTCTGTCCCGCTACCCTGAAGGCCAGGAGGCGCCTGTGGTGTTTTCTGACTGATAGATGAAAATAAGCGTCCCAGAGATCGACAGACGTGAAGAAGTCTCCGTATCTGAGGAGAGGGAGTATGGACGATACCGTCACCATCCGGAACTTTTGGGGTTCGATGAAGGAGTTTAAGTCTCTGAGATCGAGGATTAGGCGGAGGGAGCCATCCGGCTTTGGGACAGTAAAGTATCTGGAAAAGAAGGCTCGATGGTTTTGAGAATCCGGTAGAGGGGAAATGGCCCCTTTCAGAAGCAAAGTCTCGACTTCTGCCAGAATTGCCGAAGATGGTTCGGTATCGACAATCTGCCCTGTTGGTGGGAGCTCTTCGAACTCCAATGCATAGCCTTCGTCGACAATCTTTAAAACCCATGCATCTGAGGTGATATTTTCCCATGCAGGGAGGAAGTTTGTCAGGCGATCCCCGAACGGTGTCGAGCCGGATGGAAGGATGAGGGCGGGTGCCATTGGGAGGGACATGGGAACAACATTGGTAATGGAACTGTAAACGGTAACGTCCGCAAGGGCATCAAATGCAGCGCCTGGCCTGGTTGCCTCCTGAGGCCTAGCGAGAACGTGAACGCTGCTGCTGGTGCTGCCTCCGTTGTTGTTGGGGTTGTTGAGGGTGGGTTTGTTGGGAAGCCTGCAGAGGATGGGTTGGCTGCCGATACTGGATGGTACGGTACGGGACCATGTGCCGACGCTTGTACTGGAACCATCTGGTTCTCTGTGCCTGGCTCTGGTTCTCGAACCCGCACTTGGCAGCTAAAGTCTTGAAGTCATGATTTGCCTTTAGCTTGTCGTCCGTCCCGGCGTTAAAGAGTCCCAAGGTATCGAACGGGAGGTCCTCAATGACCTGCCTCGATGATGTGGAGAGGCCAGAGGATCTGAGCCAGGCATGCCTCCTGATTGCCACGGCGTGGGCGATCATCTTGCCCGCAGTGTCTCCTGTGTGTTTGGCCATCTGCATCTGGTGATGCGCCAGCGAGTTCGCCTCCTGAGCCAGGGTGGAGAGGGCAGTGCGATCTTCATCAGACATCCTTTGGAAAAACAGAGCCGCTTTTTCCCAAAGGATTTGCTGGTATGCGCCCATACAAGCACCATAGCTGGCCATGCGGGCCAATAAGAGGGCACCAGAGTAGAGCTTTCGGCCCACAGCGTCAAATCTCTTTCCCTCCTGATCGGACGGCATCGACGATTGCCTCTCAAATGCCTGAGCCGCCTTCACGACCACCGAGTTGGGATCGGGGTGATGTTTCAGCCACTCCAAACCCTCATNACCATAGTTGGCCATGCGGGCCAATAAGAGGGCACCAGAGTAGAGCTTTTGGCCCACAGCGTCAAATCTCTTTCCCTCCCGATCGGACGGCATCGACGATTGCCTCCCAAACGCCTGAGCCGCCTTCACGACCACCGAGTTGGGATCGGGGTGATGTTTCAGCCACTCCAAACCCTCATCGTCCGTTCTGTACCATGATTCAATTTTCTTAGAGGTTGGAGGGATGGAGGAAGGGGTCTTCCAGGAGCCCTGGATCACTTCAAGGAGATAGGGAAGGAAAGGTAGAAGAGGAGCAGGTGGAGATTCCGATTGCACCCTCTTAAACACCGGGTCTTGCACTGCCTTGGAAGTCTGCTTGACCTCCAAGACTAGGGCATCAGCCATGCGAGCCATTTGATCCGCAAAGGCTCGGACATTGTCCGTGGGAGATGGTGGATCAGCCTCATAAGTGTCGTGAGTGGGTGATCTCTCGATCCTGAGAGATAGCACCGATCCCGAGTGTACCGATCCTGGTAACTCGCCATCTTCCTCTTCATCGTCAGCAGTGACGGACTGGGGAGGAGGGGATGAGGACACATCCCGGCTCGGACGTTGCAGTGGAGCTGCTGGAGGGGCTTTTGAGGCCGAGGCCTGAATGGCACGGGCCAATCTCATAGTCTGTCTGCCCCTTTCCGGAGTCTCCATCACTGGAGAAGTCTCCTGTCTTGCCATCACAGTTGTCAAGGTCGACACGGACGGGAAGAGCTCCTGTCTGGCTGTCACATGTCGAGTTGGTGCCTCGATCACCGTGTCCACCGAAATCACCGGGGACGCGGGCTGTTCCAACGGCAGCTCTGGCAACGGCTGTGGTTCCTGAGCGGGCTGAACGGCCGGCTGGGATTGAGCAGATTGCAGCGGCGATGACCTCGCTGACGAGGTGGCCGAGGAGGCGGTGGTCTGCTTTCGGGAAGAAGAAGAAGACGAGGATGGAGGCGGCATCGTCTTCTTCTTCTTCGCCGGCGGCTGTGTTGTCTTCGACAGAGACTTGCCCGGGGTGGGCGGGACGGAGGATGAGGTGGAAGCACGCCGAGATTCTTCTTGAGACCGGCGAAAGGCGATGCGAACCGCCGTGGAAGATGGCGGAGTCGCCGATGTCGACCTCGTGGACCTAATCGACCTCACCGACGCCACCGAGCTGGTCGAGGAGTGTCGAATGCGTACGGTCTCAGTCGTGACCGTGCATGGAGCCTTCTGCTTCGTAGGCTTTGCGGCCTTAGAAGCTGTCGACACCGAGGCCTTGGAGGCTGTCGACATAGCTGCTCTCGGTCTTTTCTGTGCCGCCTTTTTCGCTCTTGTCTGGCGAGGCTCGGCCTCAGTCGAGGGATCGACGGATTTTGATGTCGATGCCTCCTTCGACGTCGATGTAGAAGTTGATGGCCTGGATACCACGGCTGACGTCGACGCCGATGTCGATGTTGAAGGTACCGGAGCCAACGTCTGCTGGTACAAGAGGTATCGAAGCCGATGAACCCGGTTCTTACGGGACTGTGCCGTCAACGATTGACAATGACGACACGAAGAGGTGATATGTGCCTCACCGAGACACAAAAGGCAAAGAGCGTGCTTGTCCGAATCAGGGATCTTCCTCGGACAATTCGCGCATCTTTTGAAGCGAGTTGTTGACATAATATTGTCGAACAACTCGAAGAAGCTCTATCCAAAAGTCACTAATAGAATCTCTATCCAAGTAGAAGTATCGAAGCGAGCCGTGCGGCGGAAAAAAAGGAATTGTGTCGGTAGGCGCGGGGCGCCCTTTTATCCCCTGCCGGGGCTGGGCGGGGTTACCGCCAAAACGTGAAAAGTTTAAACTGTAGAAGTTTCCGTTGGAGCCCGCGCAGGCGCAGTCTCTCCACAAGTGTGCATTCGCAGAGACCATGAAGAAAAAACTCATTTACTTAAGTCTTGCTCTCAGAGGTCATAGAGAACAAGTTTTTAGCCACTGAAGCATGGAAAAAAGTTGATATGTGCCATAAGTGAACACTTTTAAACCTGATTTTTTTTCACAAGACAGCTGGTAATATGCATGATGTATGCCCCAAAACATCCACATATGGGATTGAACTTTGGGTGGGAAAGAAAACATGAATTTATGAACACCCTTTAGATGTTCACGCTGTACATGCAAAAACTAGGAGGACACCCATTAGTAGGATGATAACATCCCATACATGACATTGGAGGCGGGCTATGCAATGTGTAACTATTCATGTGAGAAAAGGCTGAAAATTACTGTGAAGGCAAATTAGGTGCGCAATATACAGCACCAATATTTCCAGAATAGTAATGAGGCTAGAAAGGATATAAAATAATATTCAAATGAGTGATGAAAAATGTTGAGAGAATATCAGAGAGATGAGAATTTCCGCACTTCTGGACTTATTTTCTGAAAAAAGAATGCACATTTTTACTGTCAGAAAAAACAATTTTTCTTCACCGAAAACAGTGGGCTTGTTTTGTTTTTTGGGTTTTTTTTTTTTGCAAAACAGAACATTCCTATACAGGAAATGTTGTTTTCTGCACAAAAGTTCCACATGCATTTATTTGCACTGAAACAAGAGTAACCTTTATAACTCCCGTATTTGAGGGATTTTGCTCTGAAAGGAGGAAATGGTAAAATTATTCAATTTTCCTGAGATAACATTTAATGGAACAAAGATGCATATTGCTAGAAATAGTTGTTATGTACTAGCTAAATTGATTCAAAGATGCCACTTAGGTAGACTGATTTAGATCTTGGGATCTGAGTGACACTTTGCAGCCTAGTTTACTATTTCCTTACATTGTGGGAAAGGATTGCTTTAGGTCACCTGCCTAACTACAGGTTCCTAATTGTGACCAGTTTAGTTCCAGAAAGCATGTTATTCTAATCATAATATTGGGTTTTTCCAGCAACCAGTGTAACCTATCCTGATAGTTCATTTATTGGCTAGAGAAATATCGGATTCATCTCTTTACAAGCCAGCAATCCTGACTCCCCATAACTGTATGATACTTTTAAAATAAAGAGAATTAGTACATTTTGTAGTGAAAATATTACCAAAGTGAAGATGCTTGCCAAATCTTATAAAAGATGAAAAGAACACAAATCTAAAATATGCAGAAAATGTAACATATGTTATTTTAATATAAATTAAAATGAAACTTAAATCATTTGCAAACTAATTTGTCAAGCAGAGCAAATAACCACACAGGATGCAATTGGAAATGAAAAATTAATAAATCTCTCTCATCACAGAAAAAAAGGATCAAAGAATCAGTCCATTAAGAATTTCAGCATTAGAAAGGCTTCCAAAAATGTCACTCTTATTACAGTACAAAAACCTTGTAAAGCAATGTTGCCTCAAAGTGCTAAAGAATGGCTTTTCTTACTGAACTTTGTCTTGTGTTGCTACATTTATTGGGGTCATGTCTAGGTATTTGTTTCTGGAGAGAATCCAGGTTAAGCAGTGAGTTTGTTAAGGCTGGATAAAATGTTGCCAGAAAATTTGTGGACATCAGAGCAGACCATGGGAAAATTACTCACTAGGATAAAACTAGTCCAATTTTCAATCAAGTGCTGGATGGTAAATCAGCATTTACACAGAGCCTGCTAATTTACTGGTCCCCTTTAATGGAACATATGGATTTTAAAAGGTCGTTTTCCCTTGACATTAAGTCTTGTCATGTCCAACTCTGGTGGGTGGTGCTTATCTTACCCAACACACTTTATCAGAGATCTAGGATATCTGCATGCCCATCCTCCTCCAAACACCCCACCTTGTCATGCCCATCACTTTTAATATTAATTATTACATTTGGCCCTGCCATTGTTTTTAATTGCATCATTGAGTGTTGTTATTGTTATTGCTTTGATTTTTGAGTTATTGTGTTGTTGTTGCTGCTGCTGTTTTATTGTTGTATTTGGGCTCGGCCTCTTGTAAGCCGCACTGAGTCCTTCGGGAGATGGTAGCGGGGTACAAATAAAGGATTATTATTATTATTATTATTATTATTATTATTATTATTATCTCCTTTTCTAAGCCAAATAGTTGGTGTTGTCCATAGACACCTCCAAGATCTAGAAAGGCAGACTCTCTCAACCTCAGATGTTGACAAATATAATAAAGTCACCTTAGAATAACTATATGCTGAAAATGGCTTGAAGAAACACAGCAATAATTTCATCAGAAGTTACAAATGGTTGTAGGCAAGATCTTAAATCCATATCATCCATGTAGGAGCAAAGACTATGTTATAAAATACTATGAGCAGCTAAAAGATTGCTACTGTTGTCATGTATAACAACTAGAGACAAAAACTGGAGGGTAGAAATCCTTACAAAGAGATACAACAAAAATCTGATACAATGAATATATTTCATTCCAATAAGAGATGCAGCACAAGAAAGGCAGCCAAGAATTTTTTTGATGTCAATCTTGTTACAATTGAAATACTTTTAAAAATAATGTTGCTGAAGAATGGCTTTTTCTACAGAATTCTGTCCTGGTCTGCTAAAATAACTAACATTTGTATCACATCGAAGACCTCATCACATGAGGAACTTTTAGTGTCCTAGGACACTGCCACCCCAGTTGACCAACGGAGCCCCAAGCTGCCCATCACACAATGTAGTCTCACTTCAGGTGGGGCTCCATTACTCATCAGGGGCAGCAGCATCCTAGGATGCTGCGCCGCAAACACAGGAGCCTCCCCATGTTCTATTTGGAACAAAAGGGCTACTGTGGGGACACTCCATATGGCAATGCTTGCCCACATATGATATGGAATTGTTGCTGCCAGCCAGGAGAGGCACAGGGTACTTGCATTGCCCTGACAATTCGCCATGGAGGCTGGCGAGTTGGCACAGGGGACCTCATCCCTGTGATGAGGTTCTAAGACAGATCACATATTTGTGTTTCCATAGATATACACAGAGATCTGAGTGATATCCTTTTTCGTGTGCCTTTCATAAAGTGAAAGGCTGTATGATAATAAAAATGTGTGTTGTTTGGTTACACACATTCTTTTCATATGGACCTTCTGAAAAATATAAGGCATCCTTTTTAGTTTAGGTCGGGTGAAATATTTGGGTGCAAATTTTAAATACACACATGCACACATGAACTTCAGATATAAATGTTTAAGAAGAGTTATCACCAAAAACATTTCTAGAAGTCACATATATTCTAATATTCTGTAATTTTAGTACAAAAAGTATCACTATGCAAAATTCACAAAAAAAAACTTTATGCTATCGTTAGGGGGGGAAATGCATGACTAAAAATACATCTTCCTGTTATAATCAAAAAGGTTTGCATATTACAAAATGTGAGTTCTTCTTTTGGTTGACAAGAGACAATGAGGAAAAAATTGAAATTCATGATATCCACAAAAAGTACATTTTTATAGCTGACATGTAACTTATTGTGGACCTTGGGTGTTTCAAGTGAAAATGCTGATATAAAAGTACTGCCAGTGGCAACCAAACTAATCAGTAAAACTGAACAAGGGGCGGGAGACCTTTGCCAAGCTATTTAATGAATCACTGTCCAATAAGCTATTTAGCATTGCTAAGATATCTGACAGATTTCTTTCTCTCAAGATCAGCAGATATTTTGCAGACCCCAAATACGACAAATAGGCTATATATGTATTTTAACAACATCTAGTGTTGAAGCAAAATCAATGAATTTTAAGACGATGCTACATCAAAGACATTCATTTCCAACAGTAGAAAGGAAACTTAGAACTACTGTGCAAGAGAACCATTTTTCTAGTGACTGAATAACTTGAATACAATACACATGTAGTCAATGTTTTGACACGAGAACTTGAGAAACAAACAGATCTAATTGCTAGGAATCATTGTATGTGTGTATGCGCCTTTAAGAAACCTGCTAACTTATGGCAGTCCCAAAAGTATTCTTTTTAGGAATACTCAAAGATGGTTCTGACAAGTCCTTCCTTTGACAAACAGCCTATAGCACCTGGTGATCTTCCAGCGAAGTACTAACCAGGTCTGATTCTGCTTTGCTTCCAAGATCTGATGGAATCTGGTACCTTTAGGGTACGAACGAAGCAGAAAAAAGTATTCACAATTCTGATTTCATTTCGAGGGCATTTAGTTGGAAAGAGAAGGCTGAACAAATGTATCTCCCTCTTCTGAATTATACATTTTATCCAGAAGTATGACTCTGTAATGACCCACCAATTTATTTCCTATTTCTTATTCTTTTTGAATTGTAAGATGAAATAATATATCTGATAGATATATTCTTTTCACTACTGATTTAATTTTTTTCTTTGAATGCCACGCCTATAGCACTTCAGTAGTTGAATTTTGCCTGCAGGGCAACGAGATTAACCATGAAACAGAAGCATTTCTAGAATGTCAATAATTTGTACTTCTAACCTCTCAGGAATAATTCT